CCCCAAAACCCCAAAACCCCAAAACCCCAAAACCCCTCTTTTAAATTTCTCAATTGAAATATTTTGGCAAATATGTAGACTAGAGACAAGACTTAATTCTATATCCTTGAGTTGTAGTCTCTATGATTATCTTAATCTTCCTTAGCCAAAGCATATATAAAGCACCCTTATTGATTAACAAATCAGCCGAATCAAAGTCTAATAATTAACCAACTTCCACCACTTACATATCTATATAAAACTTTGAATTTTATCAATCCTATGTCTACTAAAATTCCTATCAAATCACTGTGAGAAGCTTAATCTGTTCCTCTTTCTCTTAATCTTCTCCATTGTTCCTCTAAAGTATCACTCCTTGCTCTTCTACTGCTACTTGACTTACTTGTACATCTTCAGGTCTATTCCTGTCTTCATCTCTGCCTTCAGAGGCTCTATAGAGCTTATCAAGAAACGGTACTTTTAAGCCCAGTAGAGATTTTAGTAGTTAAAGGCCTATAGGTCAGCATAGGGCTTACTGCAAGTTGGAAGGGGTAAGGTGGCCGACTGGAGTAGGAGAGAAGGCAGGGAAGGATTTTAGAGAGAAAGGGGCTTTGGAATTGGGGGAAGGTGGCTGAGAATTTAGGGTGGATAGAATTTGTTTGGATTTTAGAGGGATTCTTATTTGGTTTGCGAGAATACTAAATGTGGTGATTGGATAATACTCCTTCTTTCTTTGAATATGGTTTGTTTTAGTTTTTAAACTAGTCTTGAGATTTACTGATATTGGAGTAGCAGAGGTTTTGTCATATTTTTCCTTCAGTCTTTCAAACTCCTTATTTAAGAACTGGGCTTGGAGATCTCAGTTTGAGTGTTGGGAATCTAAATTTATAGGGTTATCTTACATTTCTTTGACTAGTCAAAAGCTCTGTTTTTCTTTGGAGCCTGCCATTTTCTGTATAAAGAAGCTATTTATCCAAATCATCAGATGGTTGGCCCTTATTAGATATCAGTCTAATATCCTTTATGAGAGATTGTACATCATGAGGTTTTAATGAATTTCTGAACTTGCTAAAGTTATTCATAGCTTCTCTTAGACCATTGGTGATTAATTGATGAGATTTTTCTCGTCTAATATTTTCTCTAAAAGTAATTATTCCGTTTACATTGGTCAGTCATAGTCATCTTTCAGGTTCTCGTAACTTCTCATAGTTCAGTTCTTATTTGAGCTCCTTAATTTCCTTTTAAATATTTTTCTTCTATCAGTCTTTGGTTTATTTCCATTAAATTTTTTAGAGTTTATCGTCTAGAATACGCATTATTCAAGAAATATTTTTAATATCGAATTACTCAGATTTCAAGAAGATTCTCAATATCTTCCTCTAGGTTCTTTGACTTAGTGATTCTGGGAGTTGAGTTAACCGGTCTAAAATATGCCAAAGAAATTACGAAGGAGAGTGTGCTAGACGGTATTCTAAAGCATGTTTCAAAGTCTTAAGACGCTCAGAATCTTTATATTGCTGCACGTATCTATATAATAAGCTAAATTAGGTTCACTCTTTAATCCTGCGCTGTTTTTCTTTACTTTCTATATGCTAGAATCATGAGCTTACCTTCAATCTTCGCAAGTTTGGATTTCAAAGTGTTTATATTATCATAAGACTGTATTTTATCTAAGAAGGTAACTCTTTCTGAACCGTCCTAGAGATATTAGTTTGGACAAGGATTCCTTACGTCATTACTGAGTGTGTCGTACATCTTAAAGTAATAAATGTAGTCGTCAATCTTATCAACTGCACTATGCAGCTTATTTATAAAACTCTGACTTTTCATTCCACTCTGCCAGGCTGAGTGATGGCTTAAGTGTTCTTTTGTGATGCGGTGACTTGGCTTTTACTTCGTTAAGTTTTTCGAGTGAGGTAGTAGCCTCCCTGTTTAGTCTATCTGAAAGGTTTCAAGAGGGGGCTTACTTGGATTTTGAGAGTTTTTTGTGACTGAAGCCTGATTTTAAGTGTTTTGTCTTATTTCGCTGTGAGGAGTGAGAAAGATAGGCAGTTTAAGAGTAAGGATATCTGAGAAAGAGTTTTGGAGTAAGATTTTGAAGAATTTACGGTATTTTAGGTAAAAATAATCATATTTATAAGTGAGTTTAGAAAAATTATTTGGGTTGAGCTCTAATTTTGAGGGATTAATTGTTGATTGTATTTGTTAAAAGAACAAGAGCAGAGAAAGTGTACTTTTCTTTGGCCTCGAGTGTTATAGGAAGCACAACTGGACATTTTATATTTCCTTATTTTCTATAATTATATTTTAACTTGGGGTTTTGGGGTTTTGGGGTTTTGGGGTTTTGGGGTTTTGGGG